TTTGGTGCAATAGTTAGAGATGTCCTTATATCTTAACAAATTTAAGATTTTCCATCAGAAACTACTTTCCATATAAAAGAACTCCTTTAACAGTTAGGATTCCCAAAATCAAGAAAATTATAATTCCTAATCCCAAAACACTACTTATTCACTTATTTTTTTTGGGTTTTGCTGAGTGCCAACTATCCCCCACACAATAGGGGAGTCCACTCTTTTTTTATTCGGCATCCCCTCTCTTGTGAGGCACCCCGGTGTACACTAAGCAAAACTCTATTTTTTTACTTATCAACTGGGACAAGGACAAGGATTGGTTACATGGACATTACCTCATAGTTTACTATGTGATATCATATACACCATATATTTTAAATCTTGAAATTATATGAATGCACTGCCACCCTCCACAGAGGGGATGTAGCAAAATTCTTGGTTTTATTGCCTTATTTGGTACCAATCCGTGCTTATAAAACGCAGAAGATGTACGTTTTTAATCTCTCACGAGAATAGAAGATGGATTGCGGCAAGGTCGTACTTGATGCAATTAATCAGGTGCTCTTTGCGTACAGTTGTGGCCTACTTGGTTTCTCGACGGCACTTGAAAATAAGAAATTTTATTAACATCAATATGAAGAAAATGAGAAAGTGGAAGTCTTGTGTGTGGAGATGAATATTTGCATAAAGAAGTGGCTTTCTCGATTTTCTCTTTTCGCCCCCGTCTGCAAAGCTAAAGTGTTCCCAACGCAGAAAGACAATGCAAGAAATCGGCATTGAAGTAGAAATTCCCATCTCCAGGAGATAAATAACATATTCTATCATTTAAAGAGTATCTATGAATTTAGAGAATAAAAATTTTGAAGTATTCCAACAGGCTCTTTATATTTAACATTTAATTTTATTACTCTAAGAAAATATTTATTATTTTTTTCCATCTTTTATTTTAATTAGTTTTTCTCTAGATTATTATATTATTATTTTACATTTAAAATTGAAATACTTTGAATGCATTTAATTATAGAGAGAGAGAGAGATCTAAATTAAAATATTAATTGAAAAAGTTTCTTGAAGCATGATTTTAAGGGTTGATTATTTAAAATAGGGAACATCTCATGTTTAAAGAGTATCTTGAAGATGTTCTTATTCATACTAAATTTTTTGTTATTTTTTTCTTCGGTAATACTTTTTCTCATGTTCGATGAGAAAAATGTACAGAACACTGTTGTTCAATAAAAATTTCGTTATGTGAGATGTTCCCTTTTAAATTTCTTAGGAACAAAGTTTATCTTCATGGTCTCACTAACATTGGAGATGAAAATTTGATTTTAATTTGAAATTAAAGTCAACAATTAATTTTACCAACATGAGAACACAACTTTTCAACTATAAAATTCATGAACTTTTATTAAACTCTATTAAAAATCTAATTTTAATAGACACCAAATAGGGGCTTACAAAAGAATCATGTATTTATCAATGTCAATAATCTAGGTTCTTATAAAAGAAATCTTTTGTCAATTTTGTTGGGAGGAAATTGAAAAATAAAATAAAAAACAATATTTCCAGCCAAGGACTGTAACTAAGCAGAAAATACATTCAACAATTTTTGTCTTATCTAGTTAAAAATCGTTTACATAGAAATTACGAATTGAATTCGAGAAATTACTATAAGTGCACAATCCCATGAACTAGCGGCATCATGTTAACTTGGAAGAAATTTTTGTGGGCATTCCATACTAAAGTTCAATAGTATCGAGTTATTACACAATGTACGAATGTAAGGATATTTAACTTGACCAGTTGGTATCTTGCACACAATTCCTCCATCGAATTGTAGAAAAGCATACAGATCAATCAGTTCTTCAAATTTGGCGGATTCAAAGAGATGATCTTGAAAATACTTGTCATCATAGTGTGTTCCATATGTATTCCAAAGCACCTGCATACAAAACACAATAAGAATGACCTTTTCAATTTGGCCCAGGTGGTATTTTCTTCTTGCTTCTATGCTTACTACTTCTATAATGTGTCAGGAAAATTGCGAAACTGACCTCAAGAAATATATAAAAGGACAGATAAACAAGAAAATTCATTTCAAGATCAACAAGAAAAGATTGACAGAGAAATGGAAATTGAGTAACTCATCAAACAAGCTGCATACGTATACTACGGATGAGAGAATAATGTGTGGAACTCCTATATAATTAATTGCCAACGTCAACCTTTTTGATTACTTTGAAAAAGTCAGCCGTTCGTGTGATCAGTTCAATCAGTTCTTCAAATTTGCCTGGATTCAAAGAGAGGATCTTGACAATACTTGTCATCGTAGTGTGTTCCATATGTATTCCAAATCACCTGCATACAAAACACAATAAGAATGACCTTTTCAATTTGGCCATATTTCAAATTTCTATAATGTGTCAAGAAAATGGCGAAACTGACCTCAAGAAATATAGAAAAGGAAAGATAAACAAGAAAATTTATTTCAAGATGAACGAGAAAAGACTGACAGAGAAATGGAAATTGAGTATTTTCTGCTTTAACTCATCAGACAAGTTGCATACATATACTACGCATGAGAGAATAATGTGTGAAACTCCTATATAATTAATTACCAATGTCAACCTCTTTGATTACTTTGAAAAAGTCAGCCATTCGTGTCAGAATAATTGCATTCAGTGTATAAATATTTAACAAAAATCATATGCACTGCACGTGCTTTAGCCTTTATGCATAGCAAATTTTATGTACATCAATTCTACACTTGACCGTCATAAATCATCTGAAAGATAAAACGTGCAGGATTTAAAACTGTTTGAGCGGCACATTAGTCAAACACCATTACAGTTCTAATTCAGCACAGTATCCTACAAATCTGGTTAGCTTCAAGTGGAACTCATATGCCTGAAATGGAGCTGGAATCTTCTTTATAAACAATGATCATTAGGACTATAATGGGTCGTTTAGTAATGTTGGTGCCTAGTGCTAGATAATATTAAAGAAAAAATGGGAATGATTCCAGTATAATATTGTATATCAAACATGTCCTAACTGAAAATGATGCATACAGGAGTGGTTGAAACTAACCCTTTTTATATTGGGATTCACTCCAATATAATCTTATTGTTTAATTATTTGAGATAAAGTTTTGACCATCCATCAAAGAAAAAAGAATGGACCGTGCACAGTTCTCAAGAAATCCTTCGACGTGTTGAGGGCAAAGACAGATGACTGAAGACTAAGTATTATGCATTATAAAACTGGAAATGCCTTGGTTTAAAGATTTGTAAAGACTAAGTCTCTGTTTGGTAGGGATTATAATCAAGATTTTAATCTAAGTCAAAGTTAACAATTAATTTTAACCATATATTTCATGAGACTCACAATTTTTTAACTACACATTTTATCAATTTTTATCAAAATCTATTAAAATATGATTTTTAGTTAAACCAAACAGGGACTTAGTTTCAATGGCACTATAATAAGAAAAATGGAACAAGAAATCAAACGCCTGGATTTAAATTGTTCACCCTCAACAAGAAAATTACGTCTACTTGTTGAATTGAGTTATCAATACAACACAGCCAAAAGGACAAGTTTTTATGAGAAATATGGCCTCTCAGCTAAAATAGCTAGCGTGTTATATCAGAAAACAATAAAGTTTTGAGCACTTGATGATGCAAAACCAACCTTAAGCTAGGTTTCAAGAACATACTCCCTTTCCAAGTTATAATTGAAGTATGAATCTCAAGTCAGACTCTCTTGATTTCCTTGGGTTCTCTGAACAGTCACCCACAGTCCTGTAATGGAATAAAAACAAAAATGAGAAACTGGGCAAAGAGGAGAGGAAAATTACACCTTTCCTTTCGAGCACAATACAAAGTACCATTAAAAGCTCTTTAGAGAATCTAACTTACCCTTCAAACAGTTTTCTTTTCATCTCTTGTAACTCCAAAAGCCTTTCCTCAATTGTAGCTTTAAAAAGAAACCTCACAATCCTAGTGATAAATATAACACTTAAGAGGGCTTACGTGATAGAACATTAATCAGAAAGATATCAGAAAATGCACACCTGGTTGGTTTGTATTGTCCTATTCGATGTATTCTATCTTGAGCTTGCTGCTCGACCAGAGGATTCCAGCTAGGCTCCATCAAGAAAACCTACCAATAATTAAGACTAGCAGTATAAGCTAAAAGTGTTAACCGCATAAAGCTTGTCAAAATCACAGATACACCTTCATTTTCAGATTTCTAAAATTGAAAATAAGCATTTCTCTTGGTGTTAACCACAAACCAATGAGTCCATACATTTGATGCCACGGTAACATTGAGCCCAACACCTCCGACTTTAAAGGTCGTAAGGAGTATTCTGCAAGAAGGATCCTCTTTAAATTTTTTGATAGCAGCAGGTCTCTCATGTTTGGGCGTATACCCATCTACTTGCACACAGAGCACTCCTGACTGCAAAGAAACGTGTTAATCTAGTTTTCTCCTTGTTATACAAGTAAAAGCAAAACACAACACACATGTCGTACCCTCTTAAGAGCGAAATGAATAAGATCCAAAAATGATGAGAATTCGCTGAAGACAATTCCCTTTGCAGAACCATCCCTTTCAAACATGTCACTGATTTCCTCCCTCTGATATTAATTTACTGATCAGAATAAGCAAATACGGGACTAAAGAATAAAGAAATAGGTATTATTTTCTAATAAATTCACAAAAACGCCTTTTTGTTTTTTATTCTTTTTTTCCATCTAGGATTACCTTAAGTCGTCAAAAATAATAACTATGTTTATATTACTAAATTCCTCCTGTCACCTTGATACCTATTGACTATCTCTTTTGCTTGGCTTGGAAGTCGTAGGAAGAGTAGAGTTTAGTTTCCCCTTTGTGGGTTTTTTGCTTTGTGTAGGTGGGTGAGTGAGGGGAGGGGGGAGGGGTTCAATTTTAACTTACCAAAGCTTCTATTTTGGTGCTTGACTGAAAATTTTCAATTTTAATTCTATCCAAAATACTTGACTTTGCTTCGCTTTTCTTCTTGCCAGTGAAATCAACAGTAAGTGGTTTTGAACACAAAGGGCAGGAACTGGAAGGCAGTGAAGACAAACAAGATTTGCAGAAGATGTGTACACATGATATCACCTGAAACAATGACAAAATACGTATTAGAGAAATGAATGAAAAAAGTGATAAAGCCAGAAAAAGATCTTGTGATGATTCGGGAGAATGCACACCCTTACTCAGATAAACAAACTTGTGATGATCCGGGAAAATGCACACCCGTACTCAGATAAAACAAACCATATCAGTAAGCTACTAACTGCATGATAAACTACAGATATACATATAAAACAATTCTGATGCAACACTAAAATTAAGTGTATTCTAGCTGAAAAAATGAATTAAATTAATGTCAGATTCTTTAGTTACTTTTTTGACAGCATCTAAGAAAGTTCAGAGAATACTCAAAGATGATCATTACCTGGAAATTGAGCAACGAATATCTGAATATTTAACGAAACTGAACTCTCTCCTTCAACTATATGTTAAGCACAGACCCATTGGCACATAAATCCAAAAAGTGGAATATTTATCTCTCGTCATTGTCTATTTGCCAAGTATGCACGTGCACATAGGATATGAATAGACTCCATTAGGTTATAAGAGAGGTTTTTTGGTCCTCTAAGGACAATTATAATTAAGCATCTTCAAAGGGAAATTGGGTAGATTCTAAAAAGATTAATTTACACAATGAGTAGATTACTCGACCAGGTTTAGGACCAAAAACAATATACCAAATGATTGAATAAAGTAACAACTTACGCGAAGACCTTCTACGGGGTCGTCACACAAGCCACATTGTTCAGTACCCTTTTCTTCAGTTGCAAAAATCTGAAAGTAAGGGTGGTCGGCTACCTGTAGTAGATAACAAATGAAAGAACTCGAGTTAACAAAAGACATCTTTTAAATTACTGGATAATGGGTTGTCATCTGGGTATAACAAATCTTAGATACTGATATTGGGTGTACAAATTAGATTTTCTGTAAATTTACTGTGAGCTTCTAGATCACATTATTCCTAATCATTTTAAAATTATACAAATATTTGTGTGCGCTTCCAACATTCCTTCCATTTTTGTATAAATTACAAATTCCAGGAATGCATTTAACAATGTGTTACATGTAAAAATATCAAATTTTCAAGGAGCAGAAGAACCCATAACCTTCCGTAGGTGCAATACAAGATCAAATACGTAATTGAATAGGATATCATTCATCGGTGTTCCAGCCTCAACATCTCTGCACATAGAAAAGTTCATCGTGCAACAACGAGAATGAACTACAAAAATAATATTCTGATATTATGAGAAAATAAAACCCAAATCTCCAGTATGTATATGCAATTGAGCAACTTTTTTTCCTTGAAAAAACTTTCACAATATTAAGGTCTCAATTTTCAATGACTGCAGAACGAAGCCAAATAACTGAACATACCAGCCATATAAGACTTTTAAAAATGAGGAGAGCATCATTCACAAAGAAAAAAAAAAAAAAAAAAAAAAAACAATAATAATGGAAAAAATATAGCTTTAAAAAAACAAAAATAGGCAAATGAACCCTTCAATATCTAAAAAAGAGGTGTCTATGAACTTCATGGACAAATTAAACAGAAAAGCCAAATGGAATAACAAAGTTGGGTACTTTCAATGAGTCTAACAATAGAGAGAACTGCAACCTGAGATTGATAATTAATAAGATATGGTTGAATGTAAAAGAAATTAACCATCGTATTGTGGATAGAAGAACTGATGGGGAAGCATTAATAATTCTTGTAATAAGAACTGAAATAAGAAATATATTAAAATAACTTGCTTCGTATTGATTGAATGATAATTGTGAAACCAAGGAGAGTAATGGAATGGAAAGACCACAAAAAACAAGAATTCAATTTTTACATTAGCCTCAGCTGAGTACAACCTTTTATAGGACTAGAATACCTACCAAATTCAAATATATGCTAAATCTACAAATAAGGAAAAATATATATGTTGTCTATAATGAAACCGGTACATAAGGTAACAAATAAATCATCAAATCTACATCCATATTCTGAGATCTTCAACACTCCCCCTCAAACTGGATGATACAAGTTAAATAATCCCAGCTTGTCCACCATTTTTTCAAACATGGGTTTAAACAACCCTTTTGTCAATAAGTCTGCAGCGTGTTCTGATAAGGGCAAGTACACCATGTATATTGTTCCATTTTCTATCTTCTCTTTGATAAAATGTCTATTTACTTCAATATGTTTAGTCCTGTCATGATGAACAAGATTGTGTGGCATTGCATTAGCTACCTTGTTATCACAATAAACTTTTATTGGCTTATTCCCCTGAACACCAAGTTCATCCAACAGTAACTTTAGCAACATTATTTCACAAATTCCATGTATCAAAGCTCTAAATTCTGCTTCAGCGCTGCTCCTGGCCACAACTGGTTACTTCTTACTTCTCCAAATGACTAGATTTCCCCACACGAGGGTACAATAACCGATTGTAGATTTTTCGTCCATTACCGATCTTGCCCAATCAGCATCGGTGTAGGTTTTAATAGATCTTTCAGAATTCTTTCTTGAAAAAAGTCTAAGACCAGGAGTCCCTTTTAAATATCTCAAGATTTGACAAACAGCTTCCATATGCTCCGTAAATGGAGCATGCATAAATTGGCTCACAACACTAACTGCAAAAGCAATGTCAAGCGTAGTATGAGATAGGTAAATGAGCTTACCCACTAGGCGCTTATATCTTCCCTTATCAATAGGTGTGCTTCCTAAACAATCCCCTAGTTTATGATTGGGATTTATAGGAACATCCATTGGCTTATTTCCTAACATATTTGTTTTTTCTAAAAGATCCAAGACATATTTTCTCTGTGAAATGGAGATGCCATTTCTATTCCTTGCAACCTCCAGGCCTAGAAAGTATCTTAAAGGGCCTAAATCTTTGATCTCAAACTCTGCTGGAAGAGCTTTCTTCAGCCTCTTAATTTTTTCATAGTCATCACCTATCAGAACTATATCATCCACATAAACAATTAGGATGGTAATTTTTACGTCCGAGTTGTTGTAGAACACAGTGTGATCAGATTAGGCTTGCTTATATCCTTATTGACATACAACTTTCTTGAACCTACCAAACCATGCTCGTGGAGATTGTTTTAGCCCATATACGGATTTTTCCAGTGTACCTTGCCTTCATCAAACCCAGGTGGAAGTTCCATATATACTTCTTACATGTTACTGTTCAGAAAAGTGTTTTTGACATCCAGTTGTCGAAGTTTCCAAACTAGATTTGCTGCTAGTGACAAAAAAACCCTTAATGTGTTTAATTTTGCTACGGGAGTAAAGGTTTCCTAGTAGTCAACTCATAAGTCTGAGAATATCCCCTTGCTATTAATCTGGCTTTATAGCATTCTACCAATCCATCTGACTTGTATTTAACTAAACCCATCTGCACCCAACAGTTGACTTATCCTTTGGTTTTTCCACAATCTGCCAAGTTCTATTCTTATTCAAGGTTGTCATTTCTTTCTCAACTGCCTTTCCCCATTTCAGAATTGACGGGGCTTCGTAAATAGATTTTGGTATCTCAATTAACGACAGATATACAGCGAGAGCTAAACTGATCTATATAGATGAGTGTATCCAATGAAGTTGGAGATAGGATGTTGTGTACAAAATCTAACTCTTTCTGAGTGCAATTGGGACATCCAAATCATTAGTAGAGTCATTTTGTGGGATAGACAAATCACCTGAGTTCAGAACGGATTCATGGTTCTGCTGTTGAACTGTGAGATATTCCACTTTCTCAGGGTTTTTCCTCTTGGAATAAACACGTTGCTCTAGTGTTATTGCAATCTGTTTGTCTCGCCGTGTCATTAGACTTGGTTGTACAAGGGAATCAGTGTGTTGTGGATCAACTTGTTGTAGGTCATCAGGAAGTGAATTGGTGGATGAAGTTGTTTTTAATATGGGAGAGTCTGATTCTTCTATGGGTGATATAGGTAGCTGTGGTGTAGTTTCCCAAAAATGCCCATCATTATTGTGTTCTTCCCCTTTAGGGGAATTTTGGAGAAAATAGGGAAGAGATTCAAATAAAGTAACATCCATAGATATGTGGTACTTATGAGTAGTCGGAGAATAACACTTGTAACCCTTTTGGGTTGGAGAATATCTTAAAAACACACATTTTCTAGCTTTAGGGTCGAACTTGGTACGTTCATGATCTTGGATATGAGTAAAGACAGTACAACCAAACACTTTTAAAGGTATAGGAAGTATTGATAGGATTTGGGGGTATACATTTGACAGAACTGTTAATGGAGTCGATAAGGTGTGTACCCTTGTAGGCATTCTGTTTATAAGGTAGCATGCAGTGAGAACGCATCTCCCCAGAAAATTTTTAGAACACTACGAGTAAACATAAGAGCTCTAGCAGTTTCAAAGAGGTGACGATTTTTTCTTTCGGCAATTCCATTTTGTTGGAGAGTCGTAACACACAAACTTTGATGTATGATCCATTTTTCATTGAGAAAATTTCCCAATACTTGATTGAAGCACTCCCGCCCATTATCGGTTCGAAAAACTTTTATTTTTGCATCGAACTGGGTTTGAATCATAGATTAAAAGTTTGTTTAGTTTTCGGACTTATCTTTTAAGAGGTAAACCCAACATACTCTAGTGTGATAGTCCGTAAAAGTTATGAACCAACGTTTACCTGAAATACTCTTAATCCTAGAAGGTTCCCACAAATCGCAATGTATCAAAGTGAAAGGTGACGAGGATTTATAATGATGAGACTGAAATGAAGAACGAGAATGTTTAGCCAATTGATAAATGTCACAATGAAAAATATCTTTATTGCAAAACAATGTGATAGGCCCCCAATTAAGTATACCTATTCTAGAAGACTCAAAGAAGACTGGAGAAGGGAAGGAGCCATAACAAATTCCGTTAGAAGGGTATAATGGGAAAAGGTAAGTAGCTAGAAAGAAATCTATATATAGATTGGCAACCAATGGTGATAGGCAAGCAATTGTGCACGTGGAATAAGATTTAGGAGAGACGGCCCTCTCAGAAGGCTAGAACAGCTTCTGTAACCTTTTTTTTCATTCAATCAATACAAGCCTCCTTGCTGTCATTTATTTTTTTCTTCTGCTCATTGCAAATTATTGGTAGTCCCTATTAATTTGGTATCAAAGCATCCACATTCAGCAGGATATAGCCATGACTCGTGCTGATCGAGTTGGAGAGTTGGAACAAAGGGTGGATAGCAATCATCACGAACTACAAAAAGGGCTCGAAGTGCTGTGTTCAGAATTTAAAATGATGAACTCGAAGATGCTGGCAAAGTTCGATATGTTGTTTCGTGCCTAGGAAAATCAAGAGAAAGACCGTAAGGAAAAGGCCCCAGTTATGGAGAGTTCATCAATTGACTCCAATTTAACACAAACAAGGGCAAGTGCTGGTCACAACGATGGAGGAGGGTCATGCGGTGGTTGGAGAATCGAGCCACTTATAAGGAAGAAGGAAATGCCCGTGTTTGAAGGATCCAATTCCAACGGGTGGGTTTTTCGTGTTAAGAGGTATTTTCACACCAATAACCTAACGAAGGAAGAGAAGATGGATGTCGCTGCTGTGTGTTTCGACGAGAAAGGCTGATCTGGTTCAAATGGGAGGAAAAACGCCGACCAATGAAGAATTGGGAAGAAGTGAAAATCAGGTTATTACGAAGATTTAGACCGTCACAAGAAGGACCGCTTTGTGCACAATTTCTATCTCTCCGATAGAGTACCACCGATTTGAAACCCTGGCATCGCCATTGACGAAGGTATCAGATTAGATATTGGAGTGTAACTTTCTCAATGGATTGCGGCCTGATATTAGGGCTAAAGTCCATCTACTTAGACCACTGGGCTTGGAACAGATAATGGAAGTAGCCCAAATGGTAGAGGACTAGAATTTGATAAACCAGTAAAGCCCATGGAACAACAGCCCAGTAAAACCCAAGAGCATCCCTTATCAAAACCCAAATCCACTAATACCCAAAATAGAAACACCGTGCCATTGTCTCTCATTCCACGCCCTAATTACCTTCCCAAAATCTATCTACATTCAAGAGGCTTACAGATGCTGAACTCGAAGCCAAAAAGAGAAAGGGTTGTGATATAGGTGTGATGACAAGTTCATTATTGGTCACAAATGTAGGAATAAGGAGCTGTAGGTTTTTGTTATTCGAGAA